TAGTAAAAAACGTGAATGGACAAAAAATAACTTTTATTTCGACATAAATATTGGCCTGTTTTTAAGTCATCCTGGTATGCCGTAAGATTTCGACCTATAAATTGGTGTTCCCCCAATCATTGAAGCTTGAGCAGTGAAAAATATGAAAGCCTAATCTGTTTTGCATCATTAGTGATTCTCCTAGGGTGTTGCCATTTCTCCCTAGGTGTTGCGAGTTGCTTTTGCAAAACGTGTTCCTGAAACGGCTCAATTTTTTGAGCCCTCAGCATTACGCCTATGGGAGCCTCTGACGTCACACGCTCAATATTTTGAGCGCTCAATAATTTGAGCTTTTCCCCCTTGTGTGTGGGGACGACGGTGAAAACAGGGCGCCTGGGGCGATTTGATCAAGGTTCGTGAAATTTACACGTGACGTTTGGCATATAGAAGGCCCTTGGAGCGGGAGCAGTTCGAAATATCACGTGACCAATATGCCCTCCGGCGCCCTGTTTTCACCGGCGTCCATTATTTGTGCTTGTTTTAGGCTTAATTTACTTGATTCTTTAAAGTTTTGTATGTAGAATTGGAAATAATCATGGCACAAGCCATTATTTTACTTGTGTGCTGTAAAAGAAGCGTGATTAACTGTCAGAAAGCAAGAAAACAATTGAGGTCTTGGACAACATTGAAGAGCACATCTATATTGAAAGTCTTTTTGGTCTCAGAAAAAGGCTAAGACAGCTCATAATAGTCATAGCTCATCATGATGGACCTCCAGTAAGTTGACAAAATGAAAATGCATGAAAGGATGTGCAGGATGGTGCCACACTTCAGAAAACATTGGTATGAAAGTGGGTGGTGCGGGATTGTGTATACATTTTTGGTTGACACATTTGAAGCACTTGAATATTCCAGCATTTTATTTTCATTTTTTGCTTTAAGCTGCTCAGTTCTTCAAAGACAGGGGTCAGATCAGTACTAGGTGAATTGTGTAGTAGATGTGACCTGTGCTGTGCATTGCTTGACTGTCGGGTGCAACACAGTATCCATCAGTTCCATGTGTTTTAGTCATAACAGAAATTACATCTACTCACCACCAAACTTTGAGACACTATCAGTGCAATTTTCAAAATGCATAGAATAATCCACTCTCAATCACACCAGGTAAGATGTGAAGATGAAGTCCGAGTGGTACCTATGTGGTTTGGTAGGCTGGTTGACCTTGTAGATTGGTAGGAAGTAGTTTGGTATAATAGGTTGTAGGCATGTAGGTGTGTTTGTAGGATGGTAGGTTGAAAGTTAGGTTGGTAGGTTGAAAGTTAGGTTGGTAGGTAAGGTTAGGTATGATTCTACAAATTCCACAAAACTTGCCAGCTACCTGCTTGCACCATCCGAGATTAACCAAACTTTCAGAGACCTTCCCACCACTGAAGAATCTACTTCTTTGGAACAATTATCTAAGAACATTTAAATATTGGTGGGGGGGGGGGGGGGGCAGATGGCAGTGTCACTGAGTAAATTTGGCTGTGTGTCTTGTGTATATTTTGGCATGCAGCCAAGTTCCTGTCCCAACCAGCCTGCGTGCCCTGCCGTCTGGTGGCTGTTCGCTGAAGCATAAGTTATCTGAATCACTGCTAGGAATTTTGAAGTACCTAGGTAGAGAAAATTTTTGGGAGCATGTACTAAAGCAAAATAAATCAAGCATCATATCCAGTGTACCAAGCACTAAATGGCACTACCATGCTGTTCCAAGTGGCTATAGGGAGCGACTGGCTGGGAAGGCTATGTTGGTTGCCCTGGAATTGAACCCTGATTGTTGAATCTAAGAAATAAGGAAATTACCCCTAAACTAGAATGCTTCCCTTTTGAAGCATAGGACGTTCCTCTCAACACTTATGTAGGTACTTCATGAATCTGCCACAATGGCGCGAAATCAGGGGCAAAAAGTGGATTTCATTGTCATTAGGCCTACCATTCAACATAAATATGTATTTGATGTGTAAACTAAAAAATTTCATCTATAAAACATGCATATTCATGTCATTTTCTGCTAGATGCGCAAAAAATCCGTTTAGGCCTGACGTCCTAAACGGATATTTCCCATTAATTCATCGGATATTTCCGTTCCGCGTAATCGTCATTTTTGCGCGCCCAAACCAGTTTACATGAGTCGAAACTTGCGCACTTTTCGCTAAACGGAAATATCCGTTCTAAACGTCATTTTCGCTGACTCATGTAAACGGGGTAATTGTTTCTTTCTTATTTTCGCGTTGTTTGCGTTGGCGCTGTTCGCGGCACGGGTGTGCGGTGCGGATTTTTTTCTTGTTCATTGTTTTTATGTTCCTTTTTTTGCTATCCCTTCAAGCGTTTGGCCCTGCGATGCTGTATCATAGCCACTCCGCGAAGAGTGACAATAGTTAGGTGATACATAACCCACTTCACATATATTTTTCCTAGTTGCTCCCGTGACTAACACATTCTAACCCTCGCCCGTAAAGGGTGGGTGGGGGGGGGTCAAACGGACCCCCCCCCCCTCGGTTTTTCGCGAATAACTCGCGTAAAAAGCGGCCGATCGCAACGACACTTTCAGTACCCTCGAGTTAATCAATTGTACACCTACCCTAAGAATTTCATGACCCTGACCATAATGACCTATGACCTGTGACCTATATTTTGAGACCATGTTTGGCCGGAATCGCGATTCGGCGTATGTCGGCTCGCATTAGCCGCGCAGTGTCCCAAAATGTGCCAGTTTGGGTGGGAAGTAACATCCAAATCAAAATAATTTTCCACTCTCACCTCAAATTTTCCAGAGCGATTTTTCACTCCCTAGTTTACCAATTAAGAGCATCTGCGTGCACTTTGTACCTCCCTCCATATTCGATTCAGTGATCTTTTAAGGCAGCTCCCACATCCTCCAACACTCACAAATTAATTGTTGATATCTGTTTTCTGCTCTTTTTTGTACTCTTCTAACTGGCAATTTTCCACTCTCAGCCCCCTTTATAGTGACGAATATTCCCCTCTGACACCTAAGCCAAAAAATAATTTTGGGACACTGTAGCCGCGCGTTGCGTTTGCAGTCTTTTCGTGGTTTCAAGCGTTCAAACATGGGATATGATGCTGCTCCAATGCATTAGGGTGGATGTCAAGGTTACCGGAAGGTCAGGTCAGGTTATTGACCTTTGATGACCTCGGTTCGCTTTTTCGAGATTTACATGTTTCTAGGCTAGTTTTTGGAGCTGCATTCGAATTTAGCTACCATTTGACAATTTACGAAGTAGTTTTTGGTGCCTTCGTAACATGTTACGAAGTTGTCAGAGGCGGTTGACACCTGCTACGAATACCCGGCAAAATCCTTGCTGGTTGACCTGACCTGACCTGACCCGACCTGGCCTAAATGCATTCAGACGTCATGTTTGATCATCACTGACATGACATTCGCAATTAGCACCCCGAAAAAAACCCATAGCAGCCACGTTTTACGACGTTCTAACAGGTCCCGATTTTCCTGACTTTTGGGTCATTGACCTGACCTGGAAGGTCAACCGATGACCTAGGACCTTTAAATTGGGTATCATCGGCTTCCTCTCGTCACGGGCAAAACGCTCGTTTTTTCCGCGAAGCTCTAGCTGGGGCGAAACGGCAAGGGGGGTCCAACGGACCCCCCCCCCCCTTATACGTTCGTGGCTGGAAAAACACCAATACGGGCTAGGGCTAAGATTCCAATGTCAGAAGGAATCGCACTACCGTTTAGTAACATGTAACATTTAACAAGGTATTATCACGCGCACCGACGGGGGGGGGCGGATATCCGCCCCCTGAGGTTTTTCGCGGATAGCGGGAAAACCGCGGCGCGTAGCGTCGCGAACTTTGGTACGACTATTTTCTCATCAATTTTACACATGGTGTGCAAGTTTGAACCTCCTAACTTTTAAGGTCAGGTCACCAAGTCACTTTGAATGACCCAACCTCAAGTCACTTTTTTGCAACTTTGTCACCGTGCCAGAGCTACAGTAGATATCGGAGGCCTTTGAAAGTCGCAGGATGTTATTAGGTCATTAGTAGCTACAATTTGTTTATCTCGGAATTTTGATGTCGGTGACCTAAGGTCAGGTCAATTTCGCGACCTCCCCATTATAAGTCAAATGGGGAAAATCAACTCCCTGTTTTTACCACTAAAACGGGTCGGAATGGCCCCATATACCATACATGACTTCATATACGATCAACCTTCACTACCTTGAGGTCTGTTTGCTGTTGGGCAGCTGTAAGGTCATGTGACGTCATCAAAGGTCACCAGCGGTTTTTTGCCAATAACTCCGTACAGGAACAAGATACAGCCGCGCGGATGGTCTCATTGTGTTCAGCTCGTCAAGACGCATTGAATGATATACATGATGACCTCGAGGTCACGTGACCAGAGGTCAGCCTTTGACCTTGACCTTTCGAGGTGAACATATATATCATTCGATGCGGATTGACGAGAGGATCACGATGCTGCCCTTAGTTTGTTCCTATATTGACTAGTTCGAAAGTTATTCGAGAAAAACTCTCTCCATACCTAGCGCCGCCATTTTGACTTTTTGACCCCTGTGACGTCATCTTTGACCTGACCTGAAAATGACCTTTGTAAAAATTGTAGACCTTGTCCGTGCGTATCCGATGCCGTTTACCGCTTGTCGCTATCTTGCTTCGTTCTCGAGATCTCAGGGGGGGGGGGGGCGGTCATCCGCCCCCCGTCGGTACGAAGTTGCCGCAGACCCCGTCGGTACGCGTGTTATAATTACAGCGTTTAGTAACATGTATTGATTGTATAAAGATACCTATCAGTGTTGGCAAATGAATGTTTGAGTAAATTTACCAGCTGCTGGTTTCGTCAATAGGTACATATAAGGTGGAATCAAATGCGAAAAATGCTTTTTGATTTTAGAAGTGTTCTCTATAGCTAAACTTAATCCAGTGCTGCTAATCTTTTCATAACATTTCTAACATTTGTGTTCTAATCCTTGCATTTTCAGCCTCGCGAACATTGAAGATCCCAAATCAGTGAGCGTAGCGACAAGGCATCTGATAGAAGAAATGCTACAGATAGATCCAACGGAAAGGCCATCGAGTACGTACGTGGTCAACCATCCGGCTTTGTGGACAACAGAGAAAACGAAGGAGTTTTTTTCAGGTTAGCATTTGAGTAGTAAAGTAATCTTGAGAATTTGACACATAACCCTCGCCGGCCGAGGGGGGGGGGGGGGTGCCGCCCACCCATAGGGTTTTTTCGTGATAGCTCCGAACACGCTGGTGATAGAGAGCTGAAACTTGGCCTACCTAACTTTTGATGCAAGCCGGATCTTCTGACATCAACCGCATTTTCGAGTTAGGTCAGGTCACTGACCTATGACGTCATAAGTGAACCTCTGCACGGTCTTCAGATGTCGCAATTTCGCAAAGCCCTCAATGCCAGAGGAGCTGTCACAGGGAAATGGAAGTTGCAGGACCTGATCTAGTATCCATTGGGAGTCTCACAACTTGTATATCTCGGATTTTCGCTTAAGGTCATATGAGGTCAGGTCATTTTCGTGACTTCATCAATCATCATTATACCTAAGTCAATGGGGAAAAAATGAAAACTGTTATTCTTGCGCCGGGAACTATCTCCAACAAACTCAAGCACACATAATCATGATTTCAGGCACTACCTGCAAGGTTCCATGCATCACTTTTGCAATGTTGACCTTGCGTGAAGTAATATATGACGTCATTAGGGTCATATTAGGTTTTCGTCAATAACTCCCGATCAAAATGAGCTAGCGAGTCGGGAAAGCCTCCAATGGACTCATGAAGACCTGCAGAATCGAATGATATGCGGCATGTACTTTATTCGACCAATTTCGTGACCTGGGGGAGCTGACCTGATCGTGATCCGAGGTCAACGCCCTACGTTGACCTCATCCAAACAAAAATATATCATTCGACGCGTCTGAGCGAGTCGAACACGATGCTGGCAAAATCGTGGCTCTGCGGCCGTTTTTCGCGAAGTTATTCACCAAAAATGGAACCGTACCTTGGGCCACTTGACATGACATCAGAGGTCACGGGGAATCCAGTGGTAGCCTTTGTTTTACGCTAGGTGGTTTAGAATATAAAAGTTGAGTTCGAAAATTTGACGTAGGTAATTTTGAGTAGTTTTTAACTTTGCTAAAAATTGAGCCATTAACCCGCGCCCTGCTGGGGAGGGTGTTTTTACGCTCCCCCCTCCGGTTTTTCGCGAATGCCGTTTTTGCACAACTCATCAAACATCAATTCTACACATGTTGTAAAAATTTCAGACCAAAGTCATGCAAGGTCAGGTCACCAGGTCACTTCAAGTGACCGCACTTCATAAAATGTTTCAATGTATGCCATAGCTACACCGAGTGACCGATCGCTGTACAGTATGTACACAATTTATATCTCGGAATTTTTATATCGGTGACCTAAAGTCAGGTCAATTCTATAACCTCCCCATTAGAAATCAATGGGATAAACTTCAGAACCGTTTCTTTTGGAACTTAAGTCATTCTAAGCACTCTCAAACACTTAATTACAAGTAACTTTGATACACTGAACATAAAAATGGAACCCATGACCCTTCTTTATGTCCCTGAGGTCATCTCAGGTCACGAATTGAAGCTCACAGTTTTTCGCGAATCACTTTTGATAGAGGCATTCTAGAGCGATGAAAACGCCTGAGATGTGTTCAGCTCGACGATACGGATCGACTGATAAGCAACATGACCCTTACCGGTCAGGTCATGACCTTGACCTGAGGTCAAATTTTCAAGCTGACTGTTTAAGGTCAAATTATAGTTCATTCGATGCGTCTCGACGAGAGAAACACGATGCTGACAAAAGCAATGTCGTGTCTCTCTTGAGTCAAAAGTTATTGAGGAAAACATTTTCCTAAAAAGCGGCTTTTTTTGGAGTTTTTGCCCTCTGGAGGCTACACCGTTGACCTGAGGCCAAATATGAGAGCACTATACAGAAAGACCAGTAAAAGACCTATGGAATGCTCTTTTCTGCGGCGCTGTAACTCTATTGGTTCCCGAGTTGTCCGTTGGCAGTTTCGAAAAATATTGAAATAGCAAAATTTGACTTTGATGGCCTCTGGTGACCTGACCTTTGACCTGACCTAAAAAATGACCGAGATATTTTCGTCATGGTTTTTGACGTTTCTCTAATGCCGTTTACTGCGTGTCGCTACGTGGCCTAGGAGCCGAGTTAGAGGGGGGGAGGGTGTTCAGACATCTCCCCCGGCCCGGCGCGGAAGTCGCGGAGCACCAGCCCGTCGCGAGATCAAGTGACCATCCCACCTTAAAGGGACCCTCCCAAAGGGGTGTCGTTTTCCAAAAATGATTGGTAGGGCCCAAAGGCGGTGGCCGGCCATATGTGGCGGGGCTTACAAGGTAGGGTACCCCCAAATCTGCCTTTCTCATCGGATTTCGGCCAATTATTTTTTCGCCCTGGTCATTGACAAGACAAACCAAAATCTAAATAAAAAAATCTTTGGATGTCTAGGTACTCACTGAGCCCCATGCACAAAACGTGCAGTTATATAGGCAAAAGTGTCGGAGGAATGCACACCATTCTGAAAGAGGCCCACGCCGACTTAACCCGCAACCGCCTGGGGGGGGGTCGGATCCGACCCCCCTCCGTTTTTCTTGAATAACTCATGAACCGCTTGCGTTATCAACTTGAAACTTGGCATACCTTCTCCCCCATCAATTTGACGTCTCCTGTGCAATTTTTAAGAAAAAATTTTCAAAATTTTTTGAGATATATCGATTTTAGTGATGTAACTACATGGCGTTTTCAGTCAAAATATGGTAAATGTTTAAAAAATCGCCAAAAATCGAGGTTTTAAGCAAATTGCAAATTGAGGACACGAAAAGACGCAGCTCAACGAGTTCTTTAAAATGGCTATCTCGGATTTTCCATAAAATGCGTTTTTCACCCCTAAAAATTCAACAAACTATATTTTTTGGAAAACAGCTAATTAAATCCAAAATTTTGAGAATTTCCAAGAAACCGGAATATATGTTATAGAGCTCTATAAGAACATTAGATGTCCCAAATTTCAACTTTCTATCTTGATTTTTGACCCCCAAATTCTAAAAAATAGCTCCAACATGCATAGGGCACGGTGACGTCATAAGCATTTTCGCGAATTAGAGGCACTTCTGAACATCGCATGTGAAAACAAATGGCACCACTAGATTCCTGGGACAAAGCTCGTCTAGAAAAGTGCATTTTTATGTCAAAAATAAAAAGTTGAAAAATTGACTTTTTCTTAGCCCTCGTTTAGTTATGTATGGTATAAATGATTTTTTATGCTTTCAATGCACACTTATCACCAGCACAGTGACTTGGGGTCACATATAACCATTACCATCGGATTTGGCGTGAAAAATAAGCCATAAAACATGTGTCGCACGCCCATGTAGCAGAAAGTGAAAACCGTGACCTTTCGTGACCTGACCTGACCTTGACTCGTACTTAGTATGACCCCTATACGCACATGGTACCTTCACTAGGTCTTTGAGGTCATTTGTGGTGAGTTTCGAGCAGCAGCTATCGATTCCGCTGTCCGTAAGCCTAATCATGCAAAACCCCTGAATTTGACCTTTGACCTGACCTTGACCCGAAAGTTGACCTCAATCTTAAAATCTTAAGAGTGCTTTGGGAAGGTCTCGTAGAGACCTTTCGAACACCGCCTCGCGGGGCTCGATACGACCATTGGTTCTCGAGATAACAGGGGGGGTCGGATCCGACCCCCCCCCAGGCTGTCGTGGGTACGGAAATAGCCCAGGCGGTGCCGGGTTAAAAGGACGGCTGTGCTGAAATGGGCCATGAACGGCTTTGAAGGCCCCAGCCGATCAAAAAAGGCGGCTGAGGGGCTAGGAAATGCTTTGAAGACCCACGCCAATTGAAGGGTTTGACAACTAACGAGGTCTCGAAACACCACGATAGTTAGAAAGACCAGGGCCTCGTTTCATAAAGCGAGTCCGTAACTTACGCCGGTTTTTGGGCTTGTATTGCAAGCGCATGTAGAGCGATAAATTTATTTCCCCTTCTCCCTTCTGTTCTTGCTTGCAAGATAAATAAATTCAAATATTCAAACTATCGTCATCGCTTCACATGCACTTGTAATACAAGCCCCAAAAACCGGCGTAAGTTACGGACTCGCTTTATGAAACGAGGCCCTGCTTGCCAAAATAAAAAATGACAGTACGAGGGGCGTTCAGAAAGTAACGGACCCGACCATGAAGGAGCAGAGAGATACAGCATCGACTTATTAGACCAAAAAGTTCATTTATTCAAATAACCACCGTTAAGACAAACACATTTCGCGCAGCGCTTCGCGAGAGCACTCAAGTCTCCATAAGTAAGTGGGTCTTGGACACATCCTGTACGTCCAAGACGGCTGTTTTCGTCTCCCTGCTGTCAGCGAAGTTGCCACTGCTAATTTCCTTATGTTCGGGAAGAGGTGGCAACCAGAGGGTGGAGGGTTCTAAGAAAAAAGTGGATGCGACAACTCTAAGCCACAGCTCACCGCTTCACTGATCGTCAGTCGTCACCCCGCGCATGTACGCAGATGCGTGGTCGTAGATCAGGTGCACACCTTATGTCTGCTTCACTATAGCCTCTCCTCGAAGTCTATCGAATGGACACACATCATCAATTGTGCGCCCCTGTTTTAGAAAGTTGACGAGTCAGCATCCCAAAATGCAACCACTATCACCTCGCCGACTAACTTCACCTCGTTGCACTTATTTGGTGGCCGTTACTGAGTGTCCTTTCACTTGCGCAACTCGGTCACGCCCTTAGGGTCAACGTGTGACACCCACAAATCCTTAACGGTAACAAGTTGCTCAATGACATTAGGGGCCAAAAACTTTGCGCTAAGCCTTACTTTCGAGCTTGCCTTTTTTGCCGAGTCAGCAAACGGGGGTACATCTTGCAGAGATATTAAACATACTAAGACGCTGATGAATTGCTTTGAGAAACCCGATAGACACCTCTGCTTCTTCACTGCGTGCTTCCAGACAAGAAACATTTGTCATTTTCCAACAAAAAGTGTTCATTTTTCATATTTCCTTGAATCATAGATAACATGATATATTCATGTTATATATGCTTGAATCAATGCTGTTGATGGCTGACCACTGCGGGGGTCACATTCAATGATCTGTTGACCAAAATTGGGCAGGACGCCCACTAACTATTTGACGCTGCTGTAAGAAAGACAAACCTTGACATGTGTTGTTACTTGTCAGCTGTCACTAACTTTTCGTGAATAACGCTTGGTGCCTTTTCTGCAGTAGCTACTATGAACCGAATCACTGCTCTCTTCTGGGCGTCGCCCATCCTATCCGAAATGGCAAACTATGTTACGATTAAATATAAGCAGCCCGAATCAACCACAGGGCAAACTTAAAGGGACCCTCCCACCTTCATAAAAGTTAATGAATTGGCATAAAAGTGATGTCCCTTGGTTCGGAGGGATCAAAAATGAATATCTACTAAATTTCAACGAAAATATTCACTGATTTTCAAGATATTAGGCTTTTACTTTGTTTACTTTTTGGGATCTCCGCTGTTCCTAGCGACTTATTTGGAAGCAATAATTTGGCAGCCTCGAAGTGCGGCAGACGTTGCGCGCAAAGCAGTGTATACCACCACGTGTGTACGATGGTTTTAGTCTAAGATTTAAAAATCGTTAGATCTCCGCTGACGTCACAAATTCTAAGGGGGCATCCCAATGCATTAGCCCCTTAGAATCCGAAAACTGCAAGTCTGAAATTCCATATCTCCGAATTAAAGCACGTTTCGATGTTGTGAGTGCCCAAACCGGTATTTTCAGGCCATGGCCACCAATTTTGCTATCTCTCAAAACTAATGTTAACCCGCGCGGGGCTGGGGTCTCCAGCCGAACGCGCGGGGCTGGGGGGGGGGGTAAATTTTACCCCCCCCCCCGTTATCTTCCGAAGTAATGGTCCGATTTGGAAAATTCAAACGCCAATCGAAAGATCTCATCACGAACAACTTAAAACATGTACTTAATTTAAAGTTTGAGGTCAAGGTCAAGGTCAGGTCAAGGGTACAATTTGCAAGTGTCTACAGTATCGGCCTTGCACCGTAGTTGCCGAAGAATGGAGTCATGGACTGAGACTGATTGCCCAAAACGTGTTCTTAGGCTACCAAGACAATATTCGTTGCATACAATATCATTCAGAGGTCAAGGTCAAGGTCAGGTCAGGTCAGGTCAGGTCACCAAAAAAATATAGAAAAGGGCATGTGCGACACATGTTTTATGGGTCATTTTACTCATAGAATTCAATAGGCACACTCAATTAGTGATATGGACCACCTCTGGATGAATTTCAGGTCGAGGTCAGGTCAAGGTCAGGTCAAGTGAGGTCAAATTGTGAAGTTGGTTGTTAAGGCCTAAAAAGGTGTCTATCTGATGCAGTTTTTCACGGCGAATCGAATGGTGCTACTTTTGTTTCCGTACGAGGTCTAGAACTTCAAAAAAAATCATTTTTCAAAAATTTTGTGTGTCGTGACGTCATAAAATTATGAATAACTCCCACATTTTTGAACCGATTCTTCTAAAAATTGGTATGTAGGTGCACATAGACCACTTCTCTGAAATATATTCCGTTTTTTTCGATACACTCAAAGTTTTGTATTTTATAATTATTTTCCCAAGAAAGTCATTTTTTAAAAATTAGGGCCAAAATCCAAAATTTTCAAAAAACCGAGATAGCCATTTGATAGACAAAGTAGAATTACGTATAACCTTTTTTGTTACGTCTTGATTCCTTTAACCCTCCCCGGACCTATTGGTTTTCTACATACGCGCCGGCCGAGGGGGGGGGGGGGGCGGGTACGACCCCCCCTCGCCGTTTCGCCCCTGGTGGAGCTAGCGCGTCGCGGAAAAAACGAGCGCGTGCGCCGTTACGAGACGCAGAGATTGGTACCCGATTTTAAGGTCCTAGGTCAACTGGTGACCGCTGAGGTCAGGTCAAGTGCCCCAAGGTACGGTTCAGTTTTTGGTGAATAACTTCGCAAAAAACGGCCGCAGAGCGCCGATTTTGGCAGCATCGTGTTCGCCTCGCTCAGGCGCGTCGAATGATATACTTTTTGTCCCGGTCAGGTCAACTTGGGGTATTGACCTCAGGTCAAGGTCAGGGATCAGCACCCCCAGGTCACGAAGTTGGTCGAAAGAGGTCATGTCGCAAATCATTCGATTCTTCAGGCCTTCCTGAGTCCATTGGTGGCTTTCCCGACTCGCTAGCTCAATTTGATCAAGAGTTATTGACGAAAAACTAATGTGACCTTGATGACGTCATAAATGACGTCACGCAAGGTCAACATTGCAAAAGTGAGGCATCTAACCTTGCAAGGAGTGCATCAAATCACGATTCTGTGTGCTTGAGATAGTAAGAGATCGTTCCCGGCGCCAGAATAGCAGTTTTCATTTTTCCCCATTGACTTATAATGGTGAGGTCACGAAAATGACCTGACCTCATATGACCTTTAGGGAAAATCCGAGATATACAAGTTGTGGGACTCATAATGGATACTAGGTCCTGCAAGTTTCATTTCTTTGTGACATCTCCTCTGGCAGTGAGGGCGTTGCAAAGTTGCGACATCTGAAGACCGTGCAGAGGTTCACTTATGACGTCATAGGTCAGTGACCTGACCTGACCCAAAAATGCGGTTGGTGTCAAAAGATCCGGCTTGGATCAAAGGTCAGGTATGCCAAGTTTCAGCTCTCTATCGCCAGCGTGTTCGGAGCTATCGCGAAAAAACCCTATGGGGGGGCGGCACCCGCCCCCCCCCCTCGGCCGGCGAGGGTTAAAAATGAAGATGTTAGCGGCGTTTGAAATTTTGCCGTTTTTGAGGCGAAAATGGCGAACATGACGTCACTAAAAAGTCAATTTCTCAAAAATTTCCTGACGGATTTCGCTCAAATTTTCAGAGAACGTGTCAAATTGATGTAAGAAAAGGTACCTACTGATAGTTTGGCGGCGCTGCGCACCGCCGTTTTTGAGATATTGCAAAAATTCGCGAGGGGGGGTAAAATTTACCCCCCCAGCCCCGCGCGGGTTAAAGCGTTCCGCGCCTGTGTAAACTAAAGTCCAAATGGAGTGTGCCAGCCAACCTTCTAATCACATCCCAATATTTATTGTAATATTGGTTTCTTACTGTTCTAAGGATGTCAGCGACCGCATCAAAGCCGGTAAAGAACTTGGCTCTGCGCTGGAGGAGGCTGTCAATGAAGATCTCCCTCTGGCGTTCGTCGAAGAACGAGTCAAACTCACAAATTGGAAGAACGCAGTCGACACCACTCTGGACAAGGGGGCTTTCAAAAGCTACCCCGAGACCACGGCAGGCCTTCTTAGGTTAATAAGAAACAAGGTAAACTAGAATATTTATTATATTAACCCTCGCCCGTATTGGTGTTTTTTTTTTTCCAGCCGCGAACGTATAAGGGGGGGGGGGTGTCCGTTGGACCCCCCCCCCTTACCGCTTTGCCCCTGATCGAGCTAGAGCTTCGCGGAAAAAAACGAGCGTGCTGCCCGTGACGAGAGGAAGCCGATGATACCTAATTTTAGGACGCCATTTAATTGCGTCCCAGAAAAGCTACTTCTGGCACCTAAAAGCTGACTCGCCCCAAAATTGGTCCTCAGCACCTATTTGGTGGATACCAGCACCAATCATGGAAAATGACCTTAATTAGCTGTTTCTGGCACCTATTCATCGGTACGCCTTACTCTTTTTTCTGAATCTGGCACCTAAATGCTGAGCGTAGCACCAATCCAGGCGCGGATCCAGGGGGGGGGGCGACGGGGGCGGCCGCCCCCCCCCCCCCCCGCCATCCGAAAAAGGCGCCCATATCCCGCGGCAGAGAGGGCGCCCCGAGCAGAAGAGCGGCGACACAGCAAAGGTTCAGCAGAAATAGGGCGCCTCCAGCAGAAGTTGGGCTCACCAAGCAGGAGAGTGACGCCCAATTGCCTATTCCCAGCAGATGAGAGTCGCCCCAGCAGCAGATGGGCGCCCCCAGCAGAAGAGGGCGTCTCGTTACAAGAATATAAAATACCTTCTGTTCACGAGGGGCGCCCCTGGCAGCGGAAGGGCACCCTTAGCAGGAGACGTGTCCCCCTGAAGAGGAGCGACGCCCCAGCAAAAGGAGAGAGGCGCCCCCATTCCGAGAAGAGGGGCGCCCTGACAGCAGCTGGGCGCCCCAGCAAAAAAGGAGCCCCATAATAAGAAAATGGGTGCCACTGCACACAGCCGCTATCAGGGTTCAGAAGTGGCCAATACCCTAATTTTCGACAAATTTTAAAGCGTGCTTTTCTCACATTTTCTGGTCGTAAATTGATCAGACTGTGTAAAATATCATCCAGAAAAAATATTACTCATTCTGGCACAGATTGGTGGGCCCCCAAAGTACACCGTTTTGTTTTGCTCCGTGAGACCGAACTTGTGCTGCGATTTTCATGTAAATGTTGACCAGTCTCCTGTCATATTCTTTGCTTGAAAATGCGTAAGTAAGATATCAGCTGAAAGGGGAAAATGTGAGGAATCTATTGGTAACAAAAGTGCATCTAAAAAACTTCCCAATCAGTTATTGTAAGCTAATTGTTGCACACTTGCACAAAGCAGAAGGGCTTGAGGATTTCAATATTTACATAGGCCTACCAAAAAACGCACAACGTGCTTCACATCGAGACAACGTCCATAACATATACCGTACAATTGTGATTCATTTGCTGAAAAAATTAGGTCGGCATCACACTGCCGGCAAAAGTTATTACAGTTCTAGTGACGCTAGGTCGCCGCCCGGCCGACCCCGCGCCGGTCAGGTCGGCCGGGCGGCGGCCGTGCAGCTGACGTCTGTGCGGTTCGGCAGCTGACCAATCAGCTGCGAGAGAGGAGCGCGGTCCTTCTAATCGCCCCCGGCAGTTACTTGTGCGGAGGGGTGTTCGACGCTCGTGTCGATTGCATTTGTTGGTTGTCGATTGTCGATTGACTTGTGGGTATATTTTTGGTGACCAATAGATGTACGTCGTCTCAACTGAATGTAGTCCGATCAAATTCAATAAAGCAAAAAGACATCCAGCCAACAGAACATCGTAAGAATGTCCGATATGGTTGATAACATTCAGAGTTTGGGGGAGCAGCCATCGACCAGAATGAACCTTATTGGCTTTTGTATGTAACATTTGCATTGCTTTTGGAAAGTTTCAGTCAGATATCTTCAGAAATGGCAATGTTATCGGCTTTTGCATTTTACCGTAGTCGGTTAATCACAATTTTCGATATTGCAAAGGCAATTTCAGTACGTTCTTGACATCGAAAACCAAAACGAATAGCATCATCGTGTTCCAGAGCTCAAATTGCATCCGATGCACATCTTTTTTGTTGAGAATGTTCAACTTCAAAATTTGACCCTTTTGACCTCGCCGTGACCTGACCTTCATTTGTCGAAAGGAAATAGTTTCGAATCGGACGACCCAGATGACATCATTTTTAGATGCTTTTGCCGAAATGGACCATCAAAGATGTGTCGCATGACCTTAAAAATGTATACATTTCCTTCCATGACCTTTTCCATGACCTTTTGTGACCCATGACCTTTCCATGACCTTTTGTGACAAAGTTAGGTTTCGTTTGTCAGCTATTCCTATCAGAAGCCGTTTGAATTTTTAGTATTGAACGAGTAGTTTCGAAGACAGCATGGGGAAGCTATGCAGAATCCCCTCCCGAGTCACCCGTTATGGGATATACCTACCAGTTATCCGCGGATTACAAGCAAAAATATTTTTACGGCAATGCTGGATCAGCAGGATGCTCATACGTTTCCATACGTGACCTTAAGGTTTACTTCACATATAATAAAAATTCCTTGGCAAAATGTCAACTGGTTAACGAGTTATCGCATTTTGGCCACTTCCGAACTCAAATAGCGGCTGTGTGCACTGGTAGAAGAGGGGCGCCCCAGCAGAAGAGAGGGGTCTCCAGCAGGAGACGGGCGCCCCAAGCAGAAGAGGGGCGCCCCAGCAGAAGAGAGGCGCCACAGCAAAAGTTAATCAGAAATAGGGAGCCTCCAGCAGAGGTTGGGCCCGCCAAACAGGATATGGGCGCCCCATTGACAATATCCGGCAGAAGACAGACGCCCCAGCAGCAGATGGGCGCCCCCGGTAGAAGAGGGGCGCCCCATTACAAAAAGAAAAGGAGTATATTCTACCAAAAGGGGCGCCCCTGACGACAGCGGAAGGGCAACCCCAGCAGAGGGGCGGTGCCCCAGTAAAAGGAGAGGTGTGCCCCGTTCCAAGCAGCAGAGGGTCGCCTCGCCCCAGAAAAAAAAAACTGGAGCCCCATAAGAAGAAAAGGGGTGCCTCTGGCAGAAGAGAGACGTTCCCCGCAGTGGAAGGGCGCCCCCACAAGAGTGGCATCTCCAGCAAAAGAGAAGTGCCCCTGCAAGAGAGGGGCACCCCACCAAAAGTTGGGCAGAAGTGGGGCGCCTTCAGCAGAATTTGGGGTCGCCCAACAGGAGAGGGCCGCCCTATTCACAGTAGAAAAAAAGACTCCTCAGCAGCAAAGGGGCGCCCTAACAGAAAAGGTGCACTCGTAGTAGAAGTGGGACGCATCAGGAAGAAGAGGGGCACTTCTAGCAGAAGATGGGCGTCCCAGATAAGTGGGCCGCCTGCAGCAAATTGGTCGTTCTTAGAAGGAAGAAATGAGGCGACTTAAGCAAACTGGGTCTCTCCATAATGGATTAGGCGATCCAAGCAGAGGTTGGGCGCCCCCGGGAAGTGAGGCATACCAGCATAAGTGAGACGCTTCCAGAAAAAGGAGGGGGCATCACCGGGAGAAGAAGGACTGCACCAGTAAATGGAGGCCACCTTTTTGCTAATATCTTTTGCTAGGGTAGCGGTGCCCATCTACGACTTTTAACCCGTGCCGTGCTGGTGGTCTGAGTTTTCCGTGTCCTGCTGGGGAGGGGGGGGCAAACTCCCTCGTCTAACTCGGCTCCTGGGCCGCGTAGTGACACGCGATAAGCGGCATTCGAAAGATCGTCAAAAAACAGGACGAAAACAAACGGTCATTTTTTAGGTCAGGTGGAATGTCAGGTCACCAGAGGTCATCAAAGGTAAAATGTTGCCTGTTTCAACATTTTTCCGTTTTCGAAGCAGCGGCACATAACTCGGAAACCAATAGAGCTATAGCGCCGCAGAAAAGCGCATTCGATAGCCCTTTTAAAGGTGTTTCTGCAAGCTGCGCTCAGATTTGACCTCAGGTCAACGGTTTAGCCTTCAGAGGGCAAAAGACTCTAAAAATAGCCTTTTTATGAACAATGTTTACCTGCAATAACTTTTGACTCAAGAGAGTCTCGACATTACGACGTCAGCATTGCGTTTCTGTCGTCGAGACACGTCGAACAAACTAAAGGTTGACCTTATGAAAGGTAATTTTGAGAATTTGACCTCAGGTTATGGTCATGACCTGACCGGGAAAGGTCATGCTGCATAGCAGTCGATGCGTATCGTCGAGCTGAACACAGCTGAGGTGTTTTTATCGCTCTAGCTTGAATCTATCAAAAGTTATTTAAAAAAAAAAACTGCTGCGGACCTTTCATGACATGGGATGACCTCTAGGACATAATGAGTGGTCACACTAGGTGCAATGTTCTTATTCAGTGTGTTAATTTTATATGTATCCCAATGCTTGATATTGTCTAGAATGGCGCTCGTCCAAACGAGATGCCTTTCCGTTTTCTCCCAAAGACTTAATTATACCTACCTACCTAATGGAGACGTCGCACAACTGACCTGACCTTAGGTCACAGATATCGAAATTCCGAGATATACATTTCATGAATAAGGTTGCTTTCATCAATCGCTGAAAGGTTCAAAGCAATCGTTCAGTCGGTATAGCAATGGTAAGCATTTGAACTTTTTCTTAGGCTAGGTCACTTGGCATAACCTGGTGACCTGACCTTCCATCACCCGCGTCAGACATTTTTACAACATGTGCAAAAAAGATGCATGATAAGGTATGCTAAAAATGGCGGCGCTGCGCGCAGCCGTTTTTCAGATATATGCGAAAAACCTGAGGGGGAGCGCGATAACGCCCCCTAGCACGGCGCGGGCTTTTAGCTCCCGATTTTGACGGTTTGGCGCCCCCTTTGTATTGAGCGCCCCCGGATTGCCAGGTCGCCCCTATTTCGACTTGCCGCCCCCCCCCCCTCCCGAAAATTCCTGGATCCGCCCCTGCACCAATCTAGTAGAAAAATGAACTACTGGCTGGTAGAATCATGTTGTTCTGGTATAATGACCCCTGGAGTCTAGCCTAAAGGCTGCCAGTGCAGCTACACTCTAAGACAGCCCCGTAGTGATCTCAGCATTGTATAT